CCTCGAAGTTACCAGAGTTTTTAATTCAAATGAGAAATCTATTTCCAGCAAAGTGAAAGTGGAATTGCTGCCACAAGTAATAGGTATTATTTCGATGCTCCTACGCGATCGTTCGCCCCAAGTAATTAAACGAGTTATCCAAGCGTGTGGTAGTATATATAAAAACGGACTGCAGTGGATATGTCCCATGAATGAGATTGTGGACAGTGCTGAACAAGCTTGGAATGTGCTGAGTTTGGTAAAAGCACAAATTTTGGATCTAATCGACAATGAAAATGATGGTATACGTACCAATGCAATAAAATTTTTAGAAGGTGTTGTAGTCTTGCAAAGTTATCCAGACGAGGATAGCCAAAAGAAAGACAACGACTTTTCACTTGAAGATGTGCCCTCGAATTTTAAGCTCGTAAAACGGCAAAAATTGGAAGAAGAAGCATTGAATATATTTGATATATTATTGAAATTTCATGCGGCCACACATATTTCCTCAGTAAATCTTATAACTTGTACTGGCAGTCTTTGCACAATTGCAAAATTGCGGCCGAGTCTCATGGGACCCGTTGTAGAAGCCTTTAAACAACTCAACTCAAATCTACCACCAACACTAACAGATTCGCAAGCCAGTTCAGTAAGGAAAAGCTTAAAGATGCAGTTAATAGCATTATTAAAAAATCGTGGATCCTACGAATACCATGCAACAATTCGACATATGCTGCTAGATTTAGGTGCATCGCAAGGTGAAATACAACGCGCTATACCAAAAATGGATAAGCAAGAACAAACGCGTCGACAGAAACGCATATTAGAGAGTGCGGCTAGTAATCTCAATAAGAAAATGCGATTAGACTCCATAAATAGGCAGCAGGAGCGCAGAGGTAAGTCTGGCTTAGACGATGAATGCACAAAGGATACAGAGATGGAAGTCGATGAAGAAGAGGTAGAGAAGCAGCGTCAACGGTGTATTCGTGTAAATGAGAAATTCTTGGCAGAGCAATTAAGAACCACGGATGTGGCAGTTAACCTGGTTGTGGAGTTTTTACCAAAGTTACCAGACGAGGCGCCAGATCGTTTTATTAATGAATATACACCTATACGGGACATGTCTATACAGCAGCAGGTAGTGAAGATTGCAAAAGTGCTTGGTGAACAAATGACTGCGCAGAAAATTGGACCAGGCGCGGCCGCCTTTAGCAAAGAGACACCAATGAGACCAAGAAGGATGGAGGCCATGGACACTTGTGAAAGGTAAATATATTAAAAATTATAAATGTAAAATATATTTTATTAACTTATATACACGTGTACTATGTTTTAGTGATCAACCAGTAGACGAAGATCAAGCACGTAAGGACGAGGCGACCAAAAAATTACGTGAAAACATGGAGAGAGTTAAAGGCGAACAAGAACTTATAGAACGTATGAAAATGCGTGCAAAAACTCTTAAATTACAAGAGGTCACTAAACCATTTTCACGACCCATTAAGGAGAAGTTTCTTTTAGAAGCCGTGAAACGCATTTTACAATCGGAACGCCAGTGCATTGTGGGTGGCGTGTCGGCAAAGCGTCGTAAAATACTCACAATCATGGCAGCAACGTTCCCTGATAAGGTGCGCTATTTCATTTTCGACTTTATAATGCTAGATGTGAGACAGCGTATTGATTTGGCATTTTCATGGCTGTATGAAGAGTATTGCCTTTTACAAGGTTTTACCCGCCACTCTTATGTTAAGTCTGAAAATCGTCCAGATTATGCCTATAACGAGCTGTTGAGCCAACTGATTACAGGCGTGCGTGAAAATTGTGAATTGAAAGACAAAATTTTGTTGATTCGACGAATTTTTCTAGAAGCGCCGTTATTGCCCGACGAGGCGCTCAATCAACTGGTAGAGATGTGTTTCTCCGAAGAATTTGTCAATCCTGGTGTAGATCTATTGAAAGATTTGGCTGTGATGCGGCCACCACGCAAGAACAAACTTATAAGAGTGCTGCTAATGTTTTGTGTACATGAGCGCACGGATTTACGTGAGCGAGCACTTGAACACATTGTGGCGCTGTATCACATACACAAAGTACTGCCTAATCGCATAGAGGAATACGCTTTGGAATGGGCAAATCATTTGGAGAAGGAAGTGCCACCAGCAAGCATATTTGCGGAAGAATTTGGTCGACCTGATGCTGAAGTAGCATGGAAAGAGGAGACCGCAAGGACGTGTATGACGTTGTTGCTCACTTTACTGCCGTATAAACCGAACGGTGAGTTGTTATTTGCTTTACTTGAATATATTCATTAAGATTTTCTTAACATTTTTTTCAATTTTGAAATTCACAGAATGAATATCATACTGTGTTTAAGTTATCAGTACAAATGCTCTAATAGTTTATACATCAATATGCTCTTTCAGTTTTCCTTGAGAAACTTTGCGAAATTTACACTACCACCGGCCCGGATTTGAAACGCACCATTTTGCGTTCTATTGATCCTACTATAAAGAAAATGGGCGCTGAAAATGCCACATTACTTAAGTTCATCGAAGATTGTCCTAAAGGCACCGAAACGCTTATTATTCGTATTATTCATTTGCTGACCGAGCGTGTTGCCACACCCAATACGGAGCTGGTGAATCGTGTGCGAGAATTATATGCAAATAAAATTAAAGACGTCCGTGTACTCATACCTGTGCTTAGCGGTCTTTCGCGCCAAGAGATCTTAAATGCGCTACCCAAGTTGTTGAAACTGAATCAGATTGTCGTCAAGGAGGTTTTCAACCGATTACTTGGCATAGGCACGGAGTTTGCTAATCAAACAATGGCCGCCACACCCACTGATATTCTTGTCGCTTTACACACCATAGATCCCAATGCGTGTGATTTGAAAGCAGTCGTTAAAGCCACTTCAATTTGTTTGACTGAAAAGGAAGTTTTCACACCGGATGTACTGATTGGCGTGCTGCAGCAATTGGTTGAAGTAGTTCCTATACCAACGCTACTTATGCGAACTATTATCCAAAGCATCACATTGTATCCACGCTTAACAAATTTCGTATTAAATCTCTTACAACGACTGATCTTGAAACAAGTGTGGCGTCAAAAAGTGATTTGGGAAGGTTTCCTTAAATGCTGCCAAAGGCTGAAACCGCAATCTTTGCCTGTATTGCTACATTTGCCACACCAGCAACTTGTGAGTGCTTTGGATCAATGTCCGGACTTGAGGAAACCGCTATTCGAATATGCGCAAAGCATTCAAGAGGAACCAATGAGTGGCATTACACCTCAATTGCTAGATATTATATCCGGAAAGACTGTTGATGTATTTATAGCGGTAAGAGTTAATATTTACAATTTTGATGTGTTGTAGTAAGTTTTAAATAATTATTGTTTAACTGCATACATATAAATTACGTATATACTTTAATGTAATTTTCTTTTGCATTTAGGATGAAAGTGGTGGTTATATAACCGTTGATCAAATCAAAAAAGAAGTGGAAGATCCCTCTGAAATCGGTGTAATATCAACTGTACCTATTGCACCTGTTCCAGCGCCAGTTCCAGCGCCTATACCAACACTTGGTGGAATTAATACACCCATTCAGTCAACCTCTGCACAACCATTACCACCAGGCGAAGATTAAATTACTTTGTCATTCATATAATTCCAATTAAATACATAGCATACAAAAAAAAAAATTTTAATTAAAAATTATTATAGCTTGTAATCATAATATTGTTTGCTTATAATGTAATAAACATGTTTTGTGTCTTTCTTAAACGGATACCTCTGCAATCATCTTTTCGTCTTTTAAAGCCGCCAATATGTTCAAAGCTGTTATGCGTGACATCTCCGTGCGTGTGTTGACATCAGCGCTGCCAATGTGTGGCAAGATGACAACGTTATCTAATTTAAGTAACGGCTCATCGAGCGGCAGTGGTTCTGGTGTGGTGACATCTAAACCAGCGCCCAATATACGGCGCTCTTTTAAAGCAGCATAAAGCGCCGGCTGATCAACAACACCACCACGCGCTGTATTGATGAAAATTGCGTTAGGTTTCATTTGCTCAAAGGCGGATGCATTGAAGATTTCCTTGGTTTGTGGCGTGAGTGCGCAACAGACTATTATAAAATCTGATTTGTACAACATTTCATCGAAGCTAACACGCTGAGCATTGACTTTGGCGGCTTCAGCAACACGCTCAGTACGCGCTGTGTATGTCAGTATTGAAGGTTTAAATGGAACTATACGTGCAGCGATCTCTTGTCCGATACGTCCGAAACCGAAGAGACCAACTCTTGTACCCTTCAGTCCTTGTCCACACATCCAATTGGGTGCCCATGACTTCCAACCACCATTATATACCTCTTTATTAGCCTCAAATAAGCGACGACTGGTGGCAAGTAAGAGGGCAACTGTCAACTCCGCTGTTGCGTCTGTAAGCACGTCTGGCGTATAGCCGACACGTATACCACGCTTCTTACATTCGGTAATATCAATGTGCTCGTAACCGACAGAAATAGTTGCAATACATTTGAGTTGTGGTCCCGCTCGTTCAATTACTTCTGCATCTATTTTATCCGTTAATGCACAGTAGATTGCGTCCTTCCCAACCACTTGTCGCAAGAGTTCATCACGCGGCACAGGTAGCGGTTGTGACCAATTGCTGACGTTACACCTGTTACAAATCGCATTTATGTATTTTGATTCTTTATTTCATGAACACTTTACTCACTCCGTCCTTAACAATTCTATGCCCACTGATGCAACGTCCGGGCGGGTGACGTACACAGTTTTTATTTTGCTGGTCATTCTTGAATATTTTACTGAATTCACTGCTTTATGGCGTACTTGTGATGTTGCCGCGAAAAGAAATTTCGGTGACGTTACATGTACGTATGGAATGCTAGATCGTGCCAAAAATGAAGTTAACGACATTGGAGTGTAAAATTTCTTACGTTTTGTTGTTATCAGGAGAGCAGCTGTGCGCCAATCAGCTGGTACGCCTGTTCTAAAAAAAGTTGAATTGGTAGTTAAATATAAATATAAATTTATATAAGCCATAGAACGAAAATTTAAATATATATGTGAATATAGATTATTTAAAAATTGTTTATAAAATTACGGTAGTAGGATTTAGGTCTTACATTAAGAAAATTGAGAAAAGTTTTAAAAGATATGGCAAAGCTGATAAAACATATGTTTGACGCTTTTTAAAACAACGAAAAAAACTTGTTTCCAAACAATTGCTGTATTTTTGTTTAAATTAATTCAAGAAAAAATAATTTTTACTTAGAAAAATCTACTTTATTTAATTAAGTGATGCAAAGCAGTTTCAGTATATTTTCAAGGTATTTTCGATCATATTTAGGGCGTAATAAAAATTTGGCAAGGGTCTTTAGCATAAACATCGAACACCGCATGTCGCTTGTGAATCAAACAGTTAAAGAGTCCTCACTCCAATCAACATCATTAGAACAAAATTTGAAAGTTCTTGGTGCACCCACTAAAATGCGCAGCGAACCAGTTTTAAAGAAAATAGATTCGCCTGAATTCCAAAGTATTTTCACAGATGAACTGCAAGCGCTGATTGACATCTTTAAACGTTATAATTATGAGCTACGCATAGCAGGAGGTGCTGTCCGTGATATTGTAATGGGGATTAAACCAAAAGATATAGATTTAGCAACTACAGCTACTCCAGATCAAATGAAAGAAATTTTCAAAAAAGAAAAAGTACGCTTGATTAACGCAAACGGCGAGAAACATGGGACGATAACTCCTCGCATACACAATAAAGAAAATTTTGAGGTGACCACGTTGCGTATCGATGTGCTCACGGACGGTCGGCATGCAGAAGTAAATAATAAATTAGACATTGTGCCAAATCGTTTTCATACAATTTTCATTACAGGTACAATTTACAACTGATTGGCAATTGGATGCAAATAGACGAGATCTTACCATAAATTCATTGTTTCTCGGTTTTGATGGCACACTCTATGACTACTTTTATGGCTATGAAGATTTAATGCAACGACGCGTTGTGTTTGTTGGCGATGCCAATGTACGAATCAAAGAAGATTATTTGCGCATCTTACGGTACTTTCGTTTTTATGGTCGCATTGCAAAAGAACCCTTCAAACATGACGTGAAAACCTTGAGAGCTATACGAGAAAATGCCGAAGGCTTAGCTCGCATTAGCGGGGAACGTATATGGACTGAACTTCAAAAAATTGTCGTGGGAAATTTTGGTTGCGAGTTAGTACAAGAAATTGTTTCTTGTGGTTTAGGGTCTCACTGTGGCCTACCAGTAGATCCTAATAATAATGAATTTAAAAGATTATGTGCTGATTTGGTAAAATTTTCAAAACCTCACACGCCAATATTGTTTCTGATTGCATTGCTTCACACACCAGAAGAAGCGATGAGCTTACACCAACGTCTCAAATTGTCTGCTTATGAACGCGATTTAGCGCTCTTCATCACACAGAATCGAAAGAAGGTAAATAGACTAAAAAAAAAACTTTAAGCTTAAATCAATCAAAAAATAAATTTTAGGTGGGAGTGGAATTCTGCAAGTTACGCGATTATCAAAGACTTTGCATGCAACCTTACGCTAGACGTGAATTTGTTCAAGAGTTGCTAAAATATTCAAATGAAGTAGAACTTTATAATGAGTTGAAGGCTTGGCAAATACCACGTTTCCCACTAACTGGTAGCATTTTAAAAGAACACGGTTTAACTGCAGATAAACGTATGGGTGTAATCATGACACGCCTCCGTTCTATTTGGATCGATAGCGATTTTTCAATAACTGGCGAAGAGCTTTTGACGAAGCACTTGCCAGAAGTGATAGAAAGTCTGAAGACACCGCCCGGTACTCCAAACAAAAAACAAAAAACAGAATGATGACATTATTGTTGTTAAAAATATATTTTGTTATTTTTATGCACTTTAACTTTCAAAATATAAAATATTGAAATATTTGTACCATACTTTTTTCTTAAATATACATTTACATATGTACATGCCGAAGATTCATGAAACCGAAACAAAATATGTTTTAGTGTGTTAGTTTTATCACAGTCGTGTGTCATTATGTTTTGTGAAATATTTGTATTGGTCGCTTAAACCCCTTTATACAGTTTTCAGGTATACCCATTAGTTCAAAACTTTCGAAACCCACATCCGACGAAAGCAGATAGTCGTTGAAATGATTTGGGAAAAACTGCATAGCTTTAAAATTAGCATTGATCGTCTCCTAAAAAAGCAAAAAATGTGAACTCATATTTCATGTTTCTATTTATTTGTTATACTCACAGTCATATTCTTCCGACGACCATAGTTATCATAGGGTTGCGCTTCTAATATAAGTTTACCCCCGCTACGCAGTTGCAGATACATACGCCGAAAAGCCTGTTTTAATCCAGCATCTCCAAAATTTAATTGTATCCACTTAGTTATTGACAAACAAAGGATTATATCAAATTGTTCGTGTTCAATTTCTAATAGAATATCATCTCGTAACACATAATTGCCATGCACAAAGCTTACATTGTAAGGATATTTATGTAAACGACGTGCCTCATTTTCAAAAGGTAACATCTTCTTCTGTCGCAATAACATCTTGTTAGCTTGGTTGATTAAGGAGCGATCAATGTCTAAACCAACTATACTTCTGACTGCGAATAGCTTGGCCACTTCTAATGTAATCAGTCCGCTGTTACAACCAATATCGAGCACTTGTTTACTTTGGAACATCTCTGATCGAGTTGCAAAGACTTCCAGACGTATGTCATAGTATTTGCTTTCCTTATTTCTATACCCATAATATTTGTTATAGTTGCCGTAAATAAATTTTTCTTTTAATTGCTTCTGTTCAGTATTTATTGGGGAAAGAAGCTGTATACGTTTTTTAGGACTTTGGTGTGCATTTACTTTGATAGCTGCGTTTTTAGCTCTCGCGCCGGTATTTACGTTTGTAAACGTATTACCGCTTTCAGTCGGACCTTCAATTGCAGGAGTATCCTCTGGAATCAGAAGTTTTGTTTTTTTGACACCACTTTCACTGCCATTGTTACTATTTTCAGATTTCCTTTTTCCTGCTAATTTTATCGTTGCACCATGTTTTACATGTGAAATTTCTTGATTTATATCCATTGATTGAATTTATAGAAATAAACATGTTTTCAAACGACTACTTCTTGTTGTACTACTCATTTGCAATAGATACTTAGCAGTAGTAAGCAGAATTCTAAGTGGTTCAAATAAAATTAAAATATATCTATATGCTATTCGAAATGGTTGATAATGCATGAATTTAATATAAAAAATCTCTTATGAGCGCAAAATTAATATTAAATATATTTACTTACTTATTCCTTTAAGTACTATTAGATGTGCGCATTCACAATTTAATGTGTTATCGTGCACACATCTTATCGATATTTATACCCACCAATCGATATACATTGTATATCCGTTGTCAGCGACTCTCATTTCCATCAAAAGATGTTTATTCAAAAATAATGAAAATATGTAAAGATTATATTTTACTTATTAACAAACGTTTTCACTTCCTTGTGATCAACTGTTGTTAAACCCTCAATTGAAAGAAATAGGTTTTACAATAACTAATAAGAACGTAAGGCAACGAAACAAGTAACTTGAGTGAATTCATTTGGTAAGCATTAAGTGTCTTTTTAATTCTCGTTTCACTACAAATAGCTTAATGTTGGTCCAATCGCCTTTGGATCCCATCCAAGCCAATATACTTCTCACTGATCCTCCTTGCTAACTTTGGGATAATGTTTGCGATTAGTACAAGATCAGACATATTGCTGCCAGAAATACACATATTTGTGTGTATGTATGTACGTAAAGATCAATATATTATGTATATACATATTATTAAATAGGAAATACGTTTTATTTATATATTTACACACAAACACATTAACCATATTTTATATGATATGAAAATGAGTCGCGCGCATCTGTTAAATATACAATATATCACAAGGAAGATATGCAAGGATAGCTTTTATATACAAAAGGGTTGAATACTGAACCTAATCCGCTGGCGAGCGGTCAGTCGAGTACTGGCCACAGTTCTGAACTAATATAGTTTTTTGTATGTTTTTTATTTCATGCGCCTGGAAGGGTTATTCATTGTTGTTAATAACATCCTTGTCTATATTATTTTTTGGCACGCGCCAGTACTCTTATAAATATTTCGTATAACGGCTACGAATTTGATACCATGTGTATTTTGCAATATTGCGAAATGTATGCAAAAGCAAAAGGGTGATTAAGCAAAAAATCTGAATATAAAAATATAAAATTATAGAAAACCAAGAAAAAATGTTAAGTTCGGTTGCACCGACGCTATAATACCCTTCAAAAATACAAAAACAGTTTTCCATGCAGGGACTTAACTTCGATCGTTCAGTTAATATGACAACTATATACTATAGTCATCCCATCTATAAAATGCCTAATTTCGTGAAGGTACCTCGTCAAATGAAAGAGTTTTCCATACAAGCATTTGATTTCATTGTATCGTTCAGTTTGTATGGCATCTATATGCTAAAGTGGTCTGATATCGTCCGTTCCGACAAATGATCACCTTCTTAGTGAGGAAAGGACATAATTTCAGATAGATAGCTTAAAAACTGAGGGACTAGTTCGCGTATATACAGACAGACAGACGGATATGGCTAAATCAACTCAGCTCATCATGCTGGTCAGTTATGTATATATTTTATAGAGTCTCCGACGTTTCCTTCTGGGTGTTACAAACTTCGTGACGAACTGAATATACCCTGTTTAGGGTATAAAATTATATATATATATAAAAACAAGTTTTCTTAACTATGTATGGTATTAATTTAAATAAATGTCGACAGGCGACACAGTTTTTTAACGGTTTCAGTATGATTTTATTATTTACGTTTCGAAAACTAGATTTCAGCGATTTTTCAACTTTGTATAAATTTTAAAAAAGCTTAAGTTATAATGTTGTTGCAGCAGAAAGGCGGAAAACTTTGCCCAAATAACTTTAAGAAAAACCGTGGAGTTGACAGTCCTTGACTTAACAATACTCTGGAGTTACATATGTCAACTTATACTACACTTAAACTACAAACTATTGTCCGACTTCCATATATACAACGCTGAAAAAGTTAGAAAAAGCGTAAAAATTTGAATAGACATCAGCTTTTATTATTATAGATAACTTCCGGACTTTATATATAATTTAACTACAAAAGTATTATTCAAGGATATTCACCAATGGCGTGAATTCCAACCTCTTAATCTTGCATATTATTTGATTTCAAAGAGAGAGCCTTGTGAGCAGTTTGTAGTGATTTTTCTCACTGTGTATTTATTGCATAAATATCAGCTTCCAATTTAATGAATGCAGCAGCAATACGTGCAAAAAAAAAACGGAAATAAATAAAAAAGGTGGAAATTTAAAACCAGTTTTGTACTGCCGGACTTCAAGCAACTAACTATGCATTAGCACAAGAACAAAAGCAACAGCAAAATAAATAAGTGCCAAATAGGAAGCTTAGCGTAAAAGTGAAAAATAATAAAGCACGGATGTTGACGTGACGCGGTCCAGATTAAATTTTTGATTTGGTCACCATACATGTGAAATGCAAGAGAGGCGCCTGCGTGAATGTTGCTGCTACCGGTCCCTTGTTATGCATCACTACGCTTGCGTACACATACCTATGATCATCTTCTATGCTATGGGCAATGGCTACAATTTCCACAACAATATGATAAAACACCCAGGGGGACGGATAAAAGGACGGCTGGCAGTTTAGATGGACGAAAGGATGCTTCTAAATGTAGCAGACCATGCAGACCAGCAAAAAGGGTTGAACCCAAAAACACCTTTCCATATTTGCATACATACACATACATATATATTCGTGTTTTATATTTGTAGTTGTTGCATTTTCAATTTGATTGTGTGTGAGGACGAGCACATCGTGCCTGGACGCTGGCTCTCAAATTGCTGCAACAATTGTGTTTGTGGCGTTTGTTGTTCTGGTTGCTGTTATTGTGCCTGTAAAGCTGCGTTATTATAAGGTCAACTCTATGTTTTCCCAAATGTGATGCTTAAAATTATATTCTCTACACGCGGTATAGCATTTGTTCTAGTTGTTAACGCTGTTGTTGTTGTTGTTGCTATTGGAACATCCCCATCGACCAAAGGTCGGCTGCATTATTGTTTTTGTTTTGCTGTTTTCTTGTGCTTTGGTTTAGTAAGTGAGTGGCTGGTTTGTTGGTTGAATGCTTCGCTAGGTGATTGGGTCACTCGGAGATAGCCTTTCACACATGCATACGCACACACACTCATATGCATGCATACATACATACATATTGCGTTTGTAATACGTGAAATAGAGAAATTAACCCTTATAGGTATGTAATGCAGTGAAAGGTCTTTTAACGCGTTGTGACAGTAACAACAATGTAAAAAAATGCCTTTTCTCTCTTTATTTGTAAGTATGTGCATAATTAGTGAATTGCATGTGGGTTTTTTGAAGAAAATCTTTATATTGTATTCTCATGCATATGCGCACATTTTTATCTAATTAACCCTAAACTATTTAGGAGTTAAATTTCGAATATTTTAATTATTTCATGGGTGTTAGGCATTAAGCTAATCTCTATATTACGAATATGATGGACTTGATAAGCAACAGCTGAAAAATGAGATATATTTTTTAACGAAATCAATACATTTTCAATGGTTTTCTTATCGGCATGAAATATTGCAATTTCTGTATCGAATCTTGACCCTCTGGGCTCCTCGTTCACCAAGTCAAGTCTATTTTTGTCAAAAATTGCATTATATATTATACATAAATACATATCTTGATAACTATTAGAAGCCTTCAAGTCATCTTAATAGCGCATCTATTATTTTACTGTTTATTAAATGCCTACAGCCATAGGCCGCTCTTGAGCTCCTACTTTTCGATAATCTCAAAAAGTTTAAATTACAAGTTATTATGATCTCTTTTTGGTAGTCTAAAAATACGGTCTGTTGCTGTGGTTCCATGACCAATCCGGTTACTTAGACCCAACTGTCGTCGTCGTGGGAACAGTGCTGTTTCACATAAACTGGTGCGATCACAAGAAAGTACTTTCTAAATCTAGCATTTTATGTGTTTGGAAATCACGCCTGTCCGTGTTTCAGTCCATATATTCGAATTAGGAAAATTTTCTTAAGCCAATTTAAGTTTTCTCTAATTTAGGTTCTTCAGTAAGATTTCTCATTTTAAGTTGCCTCCACCGATCATTCTACCATTGCCTTGCCACATTTTCTGTCTAGTCTGGTGATAGAATGAATTTCTCATTCATAATTTTAACCGTATTCGCATAAGTTATGTTCAGTACCCAAGACGAAGAAACGTTGATTCTTGGAGTTTTCAATTTTAGGAGAAAATAAGATTGGACCAAGTATCAACTTCATGCGGTAGTGCGATTGCACAAAGTTTCACCGATCGCATCATTCTTGAAGTCGAAAATATAGACAAAATATAATCTTAGCTAAGAATTTAAAACTGTAAAGCACTTATTCAATCATTAATTCAACAATCTAAGTCAAATTAGTTTTCTAAAAAATATTTTCGAAATTCTCAGCCAGCTCTCTAAATAAATTGAAAATAGTAAGTTAAGAATCGCACTACACACTTTAGTCATACGAAGTGCATATTAAGTTTACGAACTTTCGGTATTTCAGAATGGGATCCGCTAAGGTCACTGATTTCTTGAGCTTACACTCTATTAAATTAATGCTCTGACCCAAACGTCATGACCATATTAGAGTTGCCTTTTAACTCACGCACTCAAATTGCTCCAAGCCACGAAATTTGTCTCAACCTTTGGCTCCTTGGGTTTGGGGTCTTTCACGGTAATTTCGTTGTGTGGCTAAAATTTCTTCACGGCTGAGTAGAGCGCACATAACGAAAATGCGTAACACAAACAAAAATAAGATAATCTTCCAAAATTGTACATACTATTTTAAGGCAACCAAAGACATTGGTGCGATCTTTGATCCTCTATTTGATAACCTTATGTTTATGGCCTTTTCTGCAAATGTTTTTGCAGCTTCAGCATCATTTATGATTCTCTTGCAAAAAAAAAATGCAAAAACGCTAAGGAAAATGCACATAATTTTGAGGTAAAAATCATTAGGAACGCAATGGAAAGTTCACGCACGCCGGGTTGCGCAAGGGTTGTGATCCCTTTCTCGATCAAACGGGCTGTAATAATAAAATAGTTTCGAGGAAAAAAATTGGAAATTATCCTTTCTACACTCATAGCGTTGTTTTTGTTTCACCTTTGAATGAAATTTACTGTAAAGAAGAAAAAACGCGATGAGTATCTTCGAACGATCGCAGCGCAGATAAATGTGTCCTTGTGCGCACAGTGCGGCGTACCGAAGGGCAAGTACATTTTTTTTATGAAATATTATCTTGCGTATTTTTCTGCAAAACGTATCGAAAAAAGGGATAAGAAAAAATTGCAAACGAAATCCTTTGGCAAATGACATCATAAGACGTGACACATTGAACTGATCGGAATTGATCCTTTTTGGTCGCAACGCCCTTGTCAACAATCACACCGTGCAGACAGAGATTTCGCAAAAGTTCTTTT